ATATAGTGGTTAGCTCAGAATGATAAATAACATTTTCTGGGCTGAGAACCTTTCCCCGGCTTGGACAGTCTGTGGTGGGAATGTCATAACAATGCCATGCAATACAATGTCCTCAATGACTCCGTTCAATGTAGCCGGAAGAATTCCTTTGAGTTCAGGATATTTTGATCTGTAAGTTTGTAGTGAGGAGGTTTTAGTCTCGGGTCAGTCACTTCGGGCGCTTTGTCTGGCATTGTTTTCTTGGCATCACTTCTGTCACTGATATATTACAACAGAGGGTTGTTTTTTTTGTATGAGGGATTCTCAGTGTGAAAGTGTTCAACATTAGGTTATTATAGGAAATAAGGGTTAAAGGGAACCTGTCAGTTTGCCAATCAGGGCCAAGCCAGCTTTTAGGCTACTGATACCTTGCCTACGCTCCCTCTCTGTCCTGCCCAGCTGCCAGAGCCCTGAGTAGAGAGCCCTTGGTAAATGTATAGTATAGACAGCCAACTGAGAGCGTACTAAAGACATCCAACGTCTTTCAAAGGCCACGCAAACTCTCCCCTTCATTGGGCCTTAGAAATTTTGCACTATGCAGGTGTGTTGAACCCCTGCAGAAAGACCACTGCTTCCACTCAGGGATCAAGGGTCCTTGCCTGCTGCATGCTGGCAGGCTGGGTCTACTTCCTAAAGAACATGAACTGTTAGGCCTCATTCACACGAGAAAAAGGGCGGCACGTACAGCTCCGTACTGGGTTCACGGCCGTATTGGGCAGCTCCTGGGAAGGACAGGTACTGCGTGTGATTAGTACTCAGCCCCTGTCCTTCTCTATGGGAGTACGCGGCCATACGCTCACCTCAAGTGCAGGTCCGTGTAGGTGCGGGTGTCCCGGCTCGGACACAGACAACATCCATCCTGTCAGCGTACAAGTACGGATACCTGCAAGGAGGTGCATGGCGTGTGAGCGTAGGGAGGCGTACGGCCACGCACTCCCATAGAGAAGGACAGGGGCTGAGTACTAATCACACGCAGCACCTGTCCTTCCCGGGAGCTGCCCAATACGGCTGTACGTGTCGCCCTTTTCCCGTGTGAATGAGGCATAAGACTTTTGCACTTTTGTTTTTATGCTCCTGGAATGTATTTAGCTCATTTAAACTGTAAGTTCAGTGAGATTAGGGGCCCACGGAAGTTGAGACGTGTTGCAGTGGCATTCATTTTCAATTGCACCCCATCAAACGTCTGGGTGGTGGCACTTTTCGGAAATCAGTAGATACCCTCAGTAAACTTACCATGGGTGAAAGGGGTCCATTTGCTGGGTCAGATAATTCCCAAGATAGAGCAGCACCTGAGGGCGTCCACAACAATTGCACCCCCAACGCACGTCTGAGGCACATTTGTTCAAGCACACTACAATGCAAAGTGATGCACCGCTGTGAGCTATGGTACGTTGTGTCAGAGAAATGGTGCTTGTTGGCAGTGGCGTAACTAGTGACCTTAGGGCCCCGATGCAAGAATCCATGAAGGCCCCCCCCCCAAGAAGAAACAAATTAGATTTTTATTTTTAAACAAAATTTAGACAAGGAAAAAAAAAACACTCTCCTCTTCCATGTCTCCAGCTCCCAATTATCTCCCCCTTCATGTCCCCAGCTTTCCGCTCCCGGACCCCATGTCACCTTCCTTCATGCTTCCAGCTCCCTGTCTCCCCCTTCGTGTTTGCAGCAGCTCTATTCGGCACTGGGCAGCAGTTCTGTGTGATGAGAGGGCGGGGATTACACCGCTCCCACTCATTGGCTGCTGCCCGGCTGGATAATGCTTCACGATGCGCCCGGAACAAGGTGAGGGGAGCAGCGTGAAGCATGTAGGGCCCAGGACAGGAGGAAGAGGTCCCTGGACTGACATTAGCGGTTACCAGGATAATAAATATCCTGGTAATCAGCGGTCACCAGGGGCCCCTTCCTCCTGTCCTGGGCCCCCTACAAGTGGCGGAACTCCAGGGCCCGGTCGCGGCCGCGACCCTGGTAGTTCCGCCACTGCTTGTTGGGTTTTCTTTGCATTCTGGAAGCCCATTCAAATGAATAGGTGGCTTTAATGCAATGCACATTACCATGTGACATAACAATCATTAATGTGCGAGCATTCATGCAATGCCCCAGAAGGTGCGAATTGACCTTTAAGGATTTTCAAAGCACTAGGCTATGATTGTGATGTGGGTGGCACTGGTGGAACTTTTGGAATTCAGCAGATACCCTCAGTAAGCCAGCCATGGTTGAAAGGAGTCCAATGACCAAGTAGGATCATTGTCTCAGAAGATAAAGCAGCATCTGAGGGCATACACAGGGCCCATGTAGATGTACACATGTAGTGATTGAATAGAAATCCAATGCTTGTAAAAGAGATTGTTTGGCTGCCACATTGAGCATGTGCATCGAAAGTCATGTGATATTTGCATATGTTCATTCCAATATTTACCTGCCCTGTCCTTCTCCCAGGTTGCAAGAGGAGATTCAGCTTAAAGAAGATGCAGAGAATAACCTGGCAGCCTTCAGAGCCGTAAGTTACATTTCCTTCCACATCTACCATGTCCTTTCAATGTTCACATATGATATGCCAAAATAATTATGTTCACGCAGCACAAAGCTTGTTTAACTATACTGTAGCCCAACATATTCCGTATAACCAGCTGACATCTATTGTTATATTGTCTTCCCACAACCCTTTGACTGGGAGTAAGAGGATCTGCACAGTGTGCCAGTCGTCAGGTCAGGCATTATTGCTTTGCACTAGTGATGACCTGGAGCTTGCTACGAACCCAGTTTGCTGGAGTCCCCCCAAGCCCACGCAAAACTTTCCCTCATGGCCCCATCAACTGCCGCCAGGACATTCCCAGCCCCACAGCTACATGTCACAAAGGGGTGGGGAATGCCCCTGACACAACTGAGTGGGTCGGGGGGTTATTATTATAAACACGGTTCGCACCAGGCCCTGGTACATCCTTACATTGCACTATGTTGCCAGGTACTGGGCGCTAGAGGGGGAGGTATTAGCTTATTGCAAGAGTGGCATGGAATAGGTGGCTTTAATGCAATGCACATTACCATGTGACATACACTCATTAATGTGCGATCATTCACGCAATTCAAAATGTGTGAATGACCACCCCAACATTTACCTGCCGTGCCCTTCTCCCAGGTTGCAAGCGCACGGCAACAGTGTAATCATTCTTGCTCATAGTTCAGGTGGTGACACGGGAAGCTGCAGATCTGCCATAGGATGCTGTGGTGTCACAATGCCGGCTCTATAGCATGGCAAAGGAATGTATTTAAAAAGAGTGTCTGAATGGAAAGTGTTTTGGCGTATACTTACGTGTTTACCTGTGTGTTTTGTAAACTGGGCACTTAGCATGTTTGTCTGGGTTTCCATGTGCTACACTCTAAAGATATGCAAATTTCCTGACTTTTTCAGGATGTGGATGCTGCTACCCTGGCCCGCCTTGATCTGGAGAGGCGCATCGAGTCTCTACAGGAGGAGATTGCATTCCTAAAGAAGATTCATGAGGAGGTAAGACATTAAAAGTTCTTGTGGGGACTTCCCCTTTCTTCCTGCTCCCTCATATAGATAGGAAGAGAGGCTGGATATCCTATATTGGGAAATAGAAAGCTATAAACAGGTTGACAGGAGCCTCTAACATTTTCCCGAATCCAAAACCCCCAAAGATTAATAAAGTTTTGCCTGGAGTTGCAATGAGATATCAAGACTTGAGGATCCTCCCTTATAGATTGTAAGCCCTCAGGGGCAGGGCCCTCCTTACCATCTTGTCTTGAATTGTATTGTGATTGTAATGTCTTCCTTATATTGTAAAGGGCTGCGCAAACTGTTGGCGCTCTATAAATCCTTTATAATAATAATAATCCGCTCAGTCAAACCAATCCTTCCTCACTCGCACAGAACTTTTCAGGCTCTCAGATAACATATGTTGTATCTTCAATCTTCACAGGAAATCCGCGATCTTCAGGCACAACTTCAAGAGCAGCACGTGCAGGTAGAGCTGGAAGTTTCCAAACCAGACCTAACGGCAGCTCTCAGAGATATCCGGGCACAGTACGAGAACATTGCCGCCAAGAACGTCTCCGAGGCTGAAGAATGGTACAAATCCAAGGTATGAAAACATTTGTGCCTGTCCATTTCCTGCTCCAAGCAAGGCCAGGGCTGGGTTTAGTGTATCTCACAGCAATTTTTATCTACAGGTATCAGACCTCAACCAAGCTGCACAGAAGAATACCGACTCTTTGCGCCAGTCCAAACAGGAACTCATGGAATATCGCCACCAGATTCAGTCCTACACCTGTGAGGTTGATGCCCTTAAAGGCACAGTAAGTATTATACCCGATGCTGGCACTTGCCAATACTGGGCTCTAATGGTTTTCTCTTATGCTAACACAGGGTCTCTTTGTTTTCCAGAATGATTCCCTGATGCGCCAGATGCGGGACCTGGAGGAGAGGTTCGCCGGAGAGGCAGCCGGGTACCAGGATTCCATTTCTAGGCTAGAGGAAGAGATCCGTAATCTCAAGGATGACATGGCAAGGCACCTTCGGGAATACCAGGATCTGCTGAATGTTAAGATGGCATTGGATATCGAGATTGCCACATACCGCAAACTGCTGGAAGGAGAGGAGAGCAGGTAATGCAAGTTAAGATTATATGACCTCAGGATTATATTAACATAAGACAGACCATTAGGAATGGTGTCTGATCAGTCAAGTGAAGAGTCTATTGGGAACGCAGTACTTAAACTAGGTACTGTGGGGAACAGTGACGTGCGGTACCTCTTGCTTGGGGTGAGGCATTCCCCAGCCCCACCCCCCGCCGGCCAAAGCTCTGCCTCCTGCCGGCCGAAGCTCCACCCCCTGCTGGATGAAGCCCCGCCCCAACCCGCCCCCAACCTAGTGTAGAGGAGGAAGAGAGGAGACAGGGAGGAGCCTCCCTGTCCCTCACTTGCTCCTCACTGCTGAGGCTCCTTGACAGGTTACACAGCGGGGAGGATTTCCCTGCTGTGTAACCTGTTAGATGCCGATCTGAATGGAGAAAAAGCTGTCAGCTTCAGACATGAAGCTGACAGCTTTTTCCTCCGTAATTCTAGGTGAGGCTCTGCCTCACCTGCCTCCCCTGACCGCACGTCCCCGGTGGGGAAGACACGAGGGTACAAAAAGAAGTTGGAGGGGAGGAGGTATAATCGTAAACTGCGTAAGGGGTATTTTACTTTGAGATTGGTAAAGATGTGGAATTCAGTTCCACATATAGCTATATTAGCAAGAAACATAAACTGCTTCATAAAACACTTGAATAAGCTCCGAAGTACACACACACACACACACACACACACACACACACACACACACACACACACACACTATATATA